GTTTTTTGGTCCCAGTCTAATTGCATTTGTGCATCTGGTACTAGTTTCATTTATGGAGTTGTCTTGTCTCTTTTATGGAATTGTTTAAAGGCTTGATTGTTTATGAAATAATTTGTTCAAAATGAGTTATTTTGGTTAACCATAGTTAATTTTGGAAAATGTGATATAGTTAGTTATTAGTGGAATTTTAAAAATGTATCAAAATAATATTTAAAATAAAATGATTAAAATTGATTTGATGTAAAAGCAGGAGATAATGATTGAAAATGATAGGTAGTTAAAATTATGTGAGTGGATGAATAGTGAATTAAAATTTATATGATGTGTAAGAATGATTGGTTTCTATTATTTAATTATATGAATAATATTAAAGATAGTGAGATTGAGTTAAAGTTGAGTTAGATTTTGAGTATGAGATAAAGGTGAGTAAATTAACTCATAAACAAGCATGCCCTTAGTCTCCTTTTTGGAGTTTGGTTGTACCCCCTTGGTCGTATGTGTAATCCCAAATGAGTGGATCCAGTCGTTGTACTGATTCTAATAGTGTCCGTTAACACATTGGTGTACTCTTTATGAGTTTTTTAATTTTAATATAATTATTGTTTCCAAAAAAAAAAAAAAGAAGAATACAAAACGAAGCAAATTTTTTGTTCCAGTCGTATCAGTAAATGCAGTACATACACCGAATGTTGAATTAATCCTTCATTGTTCTTGGCAATATTGCAAAACGAATTGCTGACTTTATAATTTTTACATATTGGTATTAGACATGAAGGTACATTCAAGGTACATTCACATACCCAAAACGCTTCGGCCTTCTGATCATTACCGGTAATAGGGTCGTCACTTATTATCACATAAGCTTTTGCCAATAGCACGTCCTCTTCCTTTGTCCGTGTGGACGTTTTTTTCGGCCCTCAGCAGCAACACGTGTGTTTCTTGGCATTTCAACATTTATAGCTGCTTCACAATCCTGCAATTGTGTTTCCGGAACGTAAGTTTGAGTATTGGGTTATTTCCTCATTTGAGATCCGGAAGATTGACTCGATTGTTGCGGAGAAGATTGCACCAGATTTTGACTACTTATGTACTGCCAATATTCAGGTGGTGGATTTTGAAATAAAGCTTGTGGAGGATATTGTGAGTATTGAATATTGCCAGACATTGGATAATTTTGGGATTGTTGCATAAAAGGAAAATTTGATGGGAATTGTGGAAAAAATTGTGCTGGATAAGGAGCTTGTGAAAATGATAAATTTGGCGGAGTTTGTGAATTTTGGAATAATGGAAATTCATCAGGATTGTTAGTATTAGAATTTGAGAAATTTTGAAAGTTTTGCCTATTATTGGAATCCATTTTTTCTTTTCAGAAATGAAAGTTGCTAAATTTGTGGTGTAGAAGAAATGTAACAGTGAGATATATTTATAGGCAAAAATGATGATAGAAAGTATATATATATAAAAAAAAAAAAAACTCAACGGATAGAATGTAAAAAAGACTAAACGGATACAAAAACAATTTAATCAAAAGTAAACAAAAAAGAATAAAAAAGATTTGGATAGAGCCGTTGCAAAAGAAAAAAAGAAAAAGGAAAAAAAAATACAAAAAAAGTTTGGAAATAGTTGTTGAAGAGAGAAAAACAAAAAAAAAGAATAAAAAATGTTGCAAATAGCCGTTCAATGTGCTCAACGGCAGTGGTGGGCCAGCTAATTTTCACCATCAAATGAATGGACTCCCATCGGTTGAACATTAACTATGCATTTAAATGGATGAATTTAATGAACCAATGCGGATGCCCTGATATAGTTTGCTCAGTAAATAAAAAATAATTTCAACTCTCTACACACCAAAATAGCATTTAGAAATTTGAAAGTCACATCCGACACCAGTGGATTTGAGCTGAAATGTGGTGGTGAATCTACTTCGTTCATGGAGGTTTTGAGATCTACAGATTGAGGTGATACACATATGATCTATGCTGGTAGATTCAATAATATGAGTCGGAATACAAATATGATCTATGCTGGTGGGTTCAATAATATGAGTCGGAACAACTATGCGAAAAGTTTCATTACAAGACCAAACTTTTTAGAATTTTATCAAGGTCTGGATTTAATTATTTCTAATATAAGGTTTATATTTTAAGCTAATACCAATGTTCAATTTCATGTTTGACTTCTCAATGTAAGGTTCAACAAACTTTATTTCACGATATAATTATGTGAACAAAAATAATATTTTTTGTAATTTATAACTTAGATACTCATAATAGAAAAAAATAAATGTCGTTAGTAAAATTATATTAATAAAAAAAATGAATCTAGGTACGTTACATTTATGAAAAGTTCAAAAATATTATTTTAAACATTTATAAGTGAATTTGAATGATATATAACTTACATATTATTTTTATTAATAATCTAAAATATGTCAAAAAAGTAAGAAATAATATTTAAATACTATTTTTAATTTTATTTTTTTATCTTCAATTAATTCCCATTTTTAATTACATATTTTGATTTATATCTTATATTTTGTTACATATTTAGATTATTTAAAAAAATATATTTAAATTATATATTTTTTATTCTCATATAGGTTTTTTAAAATAAATTTTATTAAAATTTTGCATAAATATAACTTATATAAATATATGGATTAGTTTCATCATTTAAGTTAATTGTTAAATATAGTTAATATTTTTTGTTATAAATATCTCAAATTTTACTATAAATAATAATATTATAATTCACATATTTATATCAAAAAATAAAGTTGAATGACTTTTACATTGAGAAGTTAAATGAAATATTTTAACTTTAACTTACAAATAAGTTAAATGAAAAATCTTAATGAAAAATCTCTTGCACTATCCCAATCGCCGGACCTAATATATAATCCTACCAACCAATTTATACTCTAGACTATATTTCTAGTTCTATTTAAATATTTTTAGTATTTATTTTATTAAATTCAAACAATTGTATTTAAATTTGTGTATTTTTTCTTAATTTTTATTATTCGTATTAATTTGGAAATTGACTGATAGAGAAAGCCAACTTTATAAATTAATAAAGGGTACATTTGTTTAGGGACCGGACAAGATGATTGTTATGTTGTGTATCAAGATTATGTTGTAGAATAATTTTTATAGTTTGTTATAGAATAATTTTTAGCTCAAGATTGAATTTACTAGATATAAATGTGTTGTGTACTTGTTGGGTAGAATAATTGATAGGATAAGTCATGCAATTACCAATTTGCCCTATTTCCGAAGGTAATGTCGTAGGCCTCGTGGCTACATACGGTTCATCGAGAAGACGAACCGAATATAATATTATTTCCCAGCCCAAAAATAACAACCTCACAAAATACACTTTGCACCATTTGCCGACTACAGCCACCACCATACACTGCTGTTCGCCTGGCCATGGCCGCCGTGGCGCGGCTCTCCATTGTTTTAATTGACTGCCCCAATCGCAATCCAGCCGTCAAATCCCTCGGATTTTCCTTCCACAGCCACCGGTACGCCGCCTCCGACACTTTACGATGCCGGAAAAGTCGAGGGTGGTCCTCCGCCGTCACCTGCTCCGCCTCAAACGGCCCATCTTCTCCCGACATCAGGTCCTTTTTTTTTTCGTTTATTTCTTGTAATCTCCTACCGAACCTTTGAAACTAGCATATTTAGTTATGACCGCCGTCGCCTCAATTTGAGTTAATTCTAGATGATGTTTTATACGAGTATCAATCGCCTCAATTTGAGTTCCACTGAGCATTACCGGAAAATGAATAGAGTTGGAATTTAGGGATTTCATGTTTCTATGTACGCCGGCTAATTCTTACTGAGAAAGTGAACCCGAGCTAATATTTTCAAGAGATCAATTAAATTCGCATCAAAATGAGCCCGAACACTTGAAAATTGAGAATTGAGATGCAAGCTTACTCTGTTTGATAAGGGAAAACGTCCCATTAACTTGGGCAGTTGAGCATATGCTATCGATAGCGAATTTGCCGAAATCACCACCTCTGTAGCATCACAGGCAAAGTGAATTTTATCCCGAAAAATGCGTTTACACCTTTAGTCCATCTTATACAGTCATGTGTAATCGTACCATTTTTTCGTCTATTCGTTTTTTCAGTTCCACTGCCAAAATACGCAGTGAAGTCCTCTCTCCCTTCCGATCCCTCCGCATGTTCTTTTACCTTGCATTTGTAGCAAGTGGGTCACTCGGAGGACTCATTGCCCTTTCCCAGCTCATCGAGGCCCTATCCAACCCATCAAGGGCAGCCCAAGTATCCGAGATCCTCAACGGGCTCGGCATAGATTTGGGAGCTGTCTCCATTTTCGCATTTCTTTATTACAGAGACAACAATGCTAAAAATGCTCAGCTGGCCAGACTCTCGAGAGAGGAGAGCCTCTCGAGCCTCAAGCTCCGTGTGGATGAGAAGAGGATCCTTCCCTTGAGTGCTTTCAGGGGGATTGCTCGTTTGGTTATCCTGGCTGGCCCCACCTCGTTCATCGAGGAGTCGTTTAGATTAAGCGAACCTTTCTCTGCAGGGCTTGTCGAGAGAGGGGTTCTTGTTGTGCCGCTTGCTACCGATGGGAATTTGCCTGATTTCGAGATTCAAGAAACTGGGGAGATTGATGTGAAGAGGAAAAGGCTGTGGCAGTTGACTCCTGTGCTTGCTCCTGAATGGAACAAGTGAGTTTGTGTGTATGTGTTTGTTTTTTTTTTTTTNTTCTCATTAAATGCCAGTTTTGATGGTGTGTTGTTACATATAATAGCATGTTGAGGAAGAAAGTTGAAGGAAATTGAATTTACCTAATTTTGTTCTTTTCTGCATCAACTTACAACAGGTGGTTGGATGAACAAAAGAAACTGGCTAACGTCTCTCCTGAATCTCCAGTGTGAGTTGCCTTCGTTTGGCTCAAATATATATATGTTCACAGCAACGAAATTTTACCATAATTTTAGATTAATTACAAAATGAAATACCCTTGGAGTTTAATGAAAAAAAGTAAACCAACTGAGCTATCTTTCAAAAGCAAATGTCTCTCCTGAATCTCCAGTGTTAAGTTTCTATTTTTGGAATTGCACCATATCCGATGGTTGATATGTCGTATATATATTTTTTATGTGTATATATATTTTTTTAAGAGTGATTAGCTGATTGAAAATTTTTTGTCCTTGTAACTACTTGTGAAGTTATTTGTCCCTTCGCATGGATGGCCGTGTTCGGGGCAGTGGAGTTGGTTATCCACCTTGGAATGCTTTTGTTGTACAATTGCCGCCAGTTAAGGGAATTTGGTCCGGTCTTCTTGACGGCATGGATGGAAGAGTTTTATGAGCATTGTAATCTTTACTTCACCTCGACCGTATATATCAAAAGTTGAAATTATTATCATTTTTTTTTTATTTTTTGTCAATACTCAGTAAATTTGATGCACATATCTTTGCCAGTCTATTCACATTACTCTACTCTTACTATCTTAGTTTGGTAAATATGTAATGTATTAACTGTTCACATGCTACTTTTACTCATCTCCAAGGTTTCCTCTATTTTCTTCTGTTAATCATTTGAATGGATTTTATTGGTTTATTAACTACAGATTTTGCCTACTGCAGCATTTAGAAACTATGACAAGATAATGTAACAAAATTAGTGATCCAGTATGCATATAAGCATGGTCCATTCATTGCAAAAAGTATGATACAGAACATAACTTCCACACACTCACAAAGTGTATTCAACTAAAATGGATCATCAAACATTAGTAAATACAAATTTCATTTGACAAAATGAACATAGGTATAGCTCATGTAACAACTTCTACTTCATCCAATGCATAATTGTTCGTCGACACGTTTGCATAGTTCACTTTGTTGAACCTCACCACCACCGGGTATCGGGTTTTTGGGTCCTTCACCACCACCAAATAAGACGATACACAAGTAATTTGTTATAAAAAAAATATAGAAATAAATTTGATAGCTCGTGCTCAAATGTAAGTTATTAAAATAAATTTGATAGCTCGAGCTCGAATATCAAGAACTAAAAGAAAATCACACACACAAACATATTCCTCACCTGGTCAACAGCAACAACTGAGCCTACACCCTTGTACCAGTATGATTCCTTCCTCAAAATCCTTACCTGAGGTTTGTCCATCATAATCAAACTCTTACCTTAGAAAGCTCTAATCAATTTACAACAATTTATTTTACGAGAGAATAAATGTTCTAATATTAATAAATTCAAAATAAATGGTGTACTCGCCTTGGAGCCCCTCGGGGGGCCAATCGGTGGCGGCTTGGCGGCCTTGGGGGGTTCGGCGGCAGGAGCTTCGGAGGTGGAGGCCGCCGGCGCCGGCGCCGCTGCCTCATCTGCGGCGGCGGCCCGCACCACTAGCCTCGGGCTCCGGTTGATCCTGGAGGAGGAGAAGAACACCATGCTGCTCTTGACGGCGGTCGAGCTGGATGGGACGTTTGGCGCCACCACAAATCCGCACGCGGCGGAGGCTATGCTGCTGGTAGCCATTTTTGTTTTTTTTTTTTGTTTTTCCTCTGAGATTGTTCGTGGAGTTGAGGAGATAAATTTGAAAAGGGAATATGAGGAGTATTTTTGAGAGGGCTTTGAATTGTGGGGATAATTTTTTTCCCTGGATGGAGATTACTGGGTGCCTATTGATGCGGTTAGATTGTCCATTGAGATTGTGACACTTGGCTACCATATCCCATTTTTTGGATAATGTCATCTCTTTCTTTTGTGAATTTCTAACCAATATTAATGATAATAATTAAAACAAAATTTTCGACCGGACACATTATGTTTTCTATATACCATCCTTTGTCTACCGGTGTATTTCGATCAGACCCGAACTGAGTAGTTTGAGTTTGAATTCGTGCTTGTTTAATAAATGAGTTGGTATACATCATTTAATGAATTTGAAATATTAAAAGAGATGTTGGTGAACATGTAAATTTAGATCATGCTATATTAATTAACTTCCACAGAAAAAAAAAAAAAAAAATTAAAACAAATTATTTGCAAACAAGATAGACTCGGCTTGTTTAATAGATGAACAAGATTAATTGTCTGAGTTCGACTTGCTTAAGTAGACAAGCGAGCTGAACTCAAGCTTGTAGGAGTCAAACCAAGGTCGAATAACAACTCTACCTTTATGTCAACTTTCTAAGTTTCTTAACCAAATTTTTGTAGTTTTAACTACTTTAAAAATGAATTAACAAAGCCCTTGATCAATTTCTAAATGAGATGACTAATTTGCTATTCGAGTGAGTGTGAACGAGCCCCTTTTCATTGAATTTTTCGTGTTGCTTCTACCTTTAACTTCGTATTTAGTAGGGTGGTGTGCAAAAGAACTCAACTAGGTTCACACCCGATCTACTTCCTGACGTGTTCATAGACCTGCAAAATAGGCCGGGAGGAGTTTCAGGCGTTAGCGCTCCAACGATCAAGTCTGTCCACAATAAAGAAGAAGACGATAAACAGTAGATATAAAACTCTGTAAGTATAATAGAGTGTGTAAAGTGTAAATGGACATATCTTACCTCATTATATAAGGGTGTTATCTTATTGCCCAAGATTGCCCGGATGGGCTGCCAGACTGCTTGAGCTACCGTTGGTCCTGCACAAAATGCCCAATTTTGTTATGCCACATGGCCCAATCCACGTTGGGTACTAATCTTGATTATATTCCTTCTTATCCACTAGTCTTCTTTGTTAGATGGTCTAATCGTCGGACCAACCTCACTTCTCATGAGATAGATCGTCTTCCCAGCGAAAGCCGCGTAGTCTATTTTCTTGGATAATCCTCTGACTTGTGTGCCTTTAGGTCGAGTTTTTACAAGGCCATCTGAGGGCTCCTAGCTTGATTTTTCAGTGATACCTCTTCATGTAGCGTCTCCGTCGATCTGAATGACCTATCGTTTCACCCGGTTGACAGATTTTTTGAGTCAAGTCAACCCAGTGTGATATCCATATCATAGGGATACAAAAGCAAAAGATGTTGATAACAAGCCGGCCAGCTAGTAGAAATGTACGAACAACAACCACAAGTATTTCATGTCCGTAGTTGCAAGAATAGATATTTCATGTTTGCTGTCATGCATAAAGCATAAGACTTGAACACAAACATCACCTATATAGTCTTGGAGGACTTATTTAAGTTTATTTAGTTACTTCACTTTCCCATTGTACAAATAAACTATATGCGCTGCTTAGTATTGATGTGGTGATATTTCAGATATTCCTCTGCTTGTTGAATTGGTTATTAAATTTGTGTAGTGAATCTAATGGTGTGATTCTATAGGTATAGGTGCCACTTGCGAGTTGGAGGGCTAGTGGTCGTGAACATGCCAACATTCATTTTTGGTTAATGGTTGTTGCCATGCGTAAAAATTTGAATTTGTAAATTTTTTTAAAAATATTTTCCATTAATTAGCAGTAACTACAAAGCAATAGTTGATTTCACCATGAGTAGGAATTGAGTTACGTTTTATGTTTTATTAATTGAAATAGAGCTAAAAAATTAACGATAGAAGGGTAGATTTTATAAACTGTAAAGTAACTACAAGCAACTTAAATTATAAACGACAAAATAAAAATAAAGTAATAAACAAGTAAATAAGATAAGTCAGTTCTTGATTAGCTATGGCTCAATTTAAGTCTAGTTCTTGATTAGCTATTGCTCAATTTAAGTCTACTTTTAATTAGCACAATGAGTTTTATAAATTGCTAATGAATAACTAACTCTCCATAACATGTTTCCTTAAATTAACTTTAATTTGCAGTATATTTAATTTAAACAATGGACACATACACTATGTACTATTTAACACTATCTTAAATATGCATGACCCTAAGGGATTTTTTTTTTGGTAAACTAGTCCCCGTATGATTAGGGTTTTTCTCTTTCTAGAGTTCTCGTTCCAGATCTTGGATTTGTGGTCCTAGTGGCCTTAGTTTTCGCTTTTCTTCATCTTCATAGCTTAGATCCTTTTCTTTTTTGTCTCGTTCCTTTTCCCCTTTGTTGTCATCTTCCTGTTTGTAGATCGTTCATTAGGTTTTCGCTCTTCCGGAGTTCGATTGTTCCTCTTAGTGAGCCGTTGGTCTGGGTTTGCAGAGGATGACCTCGTTGGGATGGATTCTGATATAGCAGATAAATTGAATAAGTTCGGCTTTTCTGAAAAAGAAGAATCAGGTGTTCAACTCCTAGATGAAGATGTGGCAACAAGACTTCAGACATTCAAGAACAGCTTGATTGGCAAGATATTTGGTGACAAAAAAGCGAATTTTATGGGGCTAAAATCCACTCTTCATAACATCTGGCATACGACACTTGGCTTTACAGTTAAAAACCTTGGCAACAATCTTTTCCAATTCATATTTCAGAGTGAAGAGGACAAGACCAAAATTCTACAAGGGAAAACATGGACTTTCGATGGCCAATACATTATCTTGAAGAATTGGAGCCCAAATGGTGTAGAATTCACGGAGGAAGAAGAAAAGATTAAAGTTTGGGTGTAGATTCATAACCTTCCTTTGCATTGGATAGCAGAAGAACCTGGGTTGAAAATTGGCAAAATCATAGGGACGGTTCTGGATGTTTATATCCCTGGTAACAACAATGGCAGAGGAAATATGATCAAAATTCTTGTCAAGGTTAAGCTCCGAGAACCTCTAGCTGGAGGAACTTTCATCAATCTTGGAGAGGACAGAAGACGGGTTGACTTCAGGTATGAAAACTTATAAAATTTTTGCTTTTATTGTGGTCTTATTCGGCATGGTGAACGCAACTGCCAAAAAGAAAGATGTCATTGGTAATGTGCTTACACCTGGCCGATATGGAGATTGGTTGAGAATTAATTCTACTAGCCTGTCTGATCATATGAACCCTAAATCCCAATCAGAAGACAGCCCCCCTTGTAATAATAATGTGAGTCCCAATCAATCTAATCCTGAAATTGGCAATAGTGGTCTAGGGGAGAATAGTGACACCCTAGTTGCTGGTGTTAATGTTGTTTTGAATGAAGATGTCTTAGCTCAGAATAGTTTAGCAGTTCCTAAGAAAAATCCAAAGGTCAATTTAGAGGGTAATAATAATGCCAAGAATAATGAAATCCTAGAGAGTCATAATTTTGCAGAAGGGTCTTCTAATGATCAGTTTATTGATGTGTGTGTTCAAGAGGGAAATACAGGGAAGCATTTAGGGCTCAGAAAAAGAAAATTCAGTTTAAAGAGAGACATAAACAACCTTGAAACTGTTAAGGAAAAAATGTTTATTAACACTCATATTTCTGAAGTAGGGGCATGTACTGGCATCAAAAGAGGTTGCAAAAGAGTTTTGGAAATTAACAAGGATGTTGATTTAACTGAGATTCCCAAAGAAAATCCTTTGAAAAAAACAAAAAAATCTGGTAACCTAATCATTTCTGAGGTGGAGGAGACCAGCCCAAAATAGTCTCAAAGTTTCCAATGAAGGTATGTGTGTGGAATTGTAGAGGTCTGGGAGGACACTCTACAATTTCCCAGCTCAAAGAGATTTTAAGAAACCACCTCTCGGATTTTGTCTTTATTTCTGAAGTAAAAAAAAAAAAAGAAAAATTTGTTACCTCGGTTTGTAAAAAATTAAAAATGGATAATAGGTGGTTATATGTTAACCCCATAGGTACTAAAGGGGGCATGTTTTTGTACTAATCCATTGATGTATCCATTTTGGAAGTGGTCAGCTCTGACTTTAGCTTGAAAGTCCACTTCTCTTATAAAAATAAAGTTGAAACTCAATTGGCCATTTTTGTGTATGCCAGTATAGACTCTGAAATCAGGAATATGCAGTGGAATATGCTTATTAGGCACAATCTTAGATGGGGTAGGTTGTGGTTTAATGATATTTTGTCTAATTTAGAAAAAAAATGGGGGTAGGCAAAGGGATTCCAGTAGTTTTATTAATTTCAGAAGATTTGTTAATGTGCTGGATATGGGGGAAACTAAAATCAGTGGTCATAGGTTCACTTGGGCTAACAATAGGAGAGGGCTAGACTTTGTTGAGGAACACCTAGATAGAATTTTTTTCTCACCTGATTGGCTGCTTAATTGGCCTAATTTTGTTGTTAAGCACAGTACCATGACATCTTCAGACCATAATATGCTGATTTTGTATAGTGATCATAACCTGGAGGTCAGGAAGTACAGATTTTCATTTGATTCCAGATGGACTAAATATGTGGGATACTCTGATATTGTTGGAGCAGCATGGAACTTGCCTGTGAGTGGTCCCCTGTTATTCAGCATTCAGGAGAGAATAAAAAATGTTAGACTGGGGCTGATTAAATGGAACCACTCTATTAAGAATAACTCTGCCAAGGTGATTGAAGAATGTCATGGAAAATTGAGTGAATTAGAACAACAAGGAGGGAATAGAGATTGGCAAGAGTGGCACAGATGCAAAGAGTTGCAGAATCAAGCTTACATTGATGAAGAAAACTTCTGGAGTCAAAAAGCCAGAGTGTATTGGTTAC